GCCCCACCTACCTCACAGGGTGCCTGTTGTGGGGAGGGGAAGGGAAAAGAGTTTGTAAGCCGCTCTGAGACCCCTTTGGGTAGTGAAGGGCGGGGTATAAATCGAATCTCCTCCTCCTCTTCTTCTTCTTCACCTTGCCCTCCCCAGGCTCCATCCCCCAAGTCTCCAGGAATTTCCTAACCCCGAGTCAGAACAAAGTCTGAGTCCAGTGGCACCTCTTCAGACGGGCCGTTTAGCCCACTTTCGGCCCGCCTCAGAAACGGATTTTATCTGCATGATCACACAGTCAACATCTGCCTCCCATCCCCAGCAGTCGCTTTCCAGCTCAAAACTGCTTTAACCCGGAGTATTTTGATACCAGGTCCCCAAGTGGTGTTTTCCTGATTCTCCGGTTCCAGCTGCACTTTTCTGACATCTGATCACTCCTGCGGTGTCTAGCCACTTCCGGTTTAAACCCCCTCCTCGCTCGAAAGCTGCCCAAGGCTTCTGCTTTTCGCCCACCATTTTTTAAAGCGTTGGCAGTGTGCACATAGGTGGAGCTCCACCACTGTGTTATTAAAAACAATGTTTAAACAGTGCCTAGCTTTAGCATTTAGACCAGTTCGGGATCTCACGGAGGCCATTTTCAGGGTAAACGTTTAAAGGGAAGTGTTCCTTTAAAGTTTAAAGGGAAGTGTTACAGCAGTCGGGTTGAAGTGGAAATTGCTGTTCTGCGCATGCGTGAAAATTTTAGTTCTACAGATGGCTGCCTGTGCGCATGCCCAAACTGAGAGAGAAAAAACAACAGCAAAGCATGCTCCCGCGTGTGGACGGCAGGGAGCGATGTGGCTGCACAGCAATCCGGAGCAAGGAGGTGAGTGTGATCGCAATTCTCCAGGTTAAAAAAGACCGCATCAGGCCCAGAGCAATTTAAACCACTCCCAGCATGCCGTCTGACCGCACCCTAAGACCAACAAAGTTTAATTCTGGGTGTAAGCTTCCACGTGCAGGCCCACTTCTTCAGATACCCAGAGCTGGCAGTCCTAACTGCTGGAGACAAAATTTTAGCTAGATGGATCTCTGTCTGATTCAGCCAGAGTTCTTTAACGATGCCACATACATGTCTGCATGTGTGTAATATTGTCCTGCTGATGCCATTGATAAGGCCATAGTGAAAAAGGTGGGTACACTAGGTATCGACCTGGAACCCCTCTATAACTGTGGTGAGGCAGCAATCTTACACGTGGTTAGGAGGAGAATTTGGGATATAGAGGCGCAGACCATTAATGCCGGTAGTCTTGGAGTTTGTTCTCCCTATTCATTACCCCTCCTTCCCTTGCATACCTCCATGCTACCATATATCGCTAATCTGATAACCCCAGTTTTTAGGAGGGTTTTTATGCTTGCAAGGTTCAACCTTTTCCCCTCAGTAGTGGTCTCAGGTAGATACAGGGGTGTTCCGTACAGGGATAGACTTTGTAACTGTAATCTTGGGGAACCTGACTCTATTACCCATATCCTTCTCCGCTGTCCCAAATACTCCGTTATGCGCAATATCTTGATTCGCCCTTTCCTCCCTTCGCAGAGAGATTTTCTGGACAGGGATTTAAATTTATTTTTAGCAGACCAGAGCCCAGCAATAACACTATCTGTCGCTGAATTTTTGACCTACGTATGGAAATCAAGAGTAATACTCTGTAATTCTTGTAAATCATGTTAGGATTGTCTTGTATTTTGGAATATCGGGAATATTGGTTGATGTGGTTCGTGTACTACCCCTTAAACCTTTCCTTGCCTGGTTTACTTATGTTATGCCAATAAAGGTTTCTGTTCTGTGTGATAAAGATGGATATTAGAAATAACACCCAGGTCAGCTGAGCTGGAGGGTGAAATAGACAGCAGCTGCCGATCGATCTCCCTGACCTGGGTGGCTCAGGCTAGCTCAGTCTCATCAGATTTTGGAAGCTAAGCAGGGTTGGCCCTGATGAGCACTTGGATGGGAGACCACCAGGGAAGACGGGGGTTGGTACACAAAGGCAGGCAGTGGCAAAGCACCATAGTACGATTCTTGCCTTGAAAACATTACAGGGTCGCCACAAGTTGGCTGCGACTTGACACTACTTTCCACCACTAGATCTATCTGGTTTGGGCACCCTGATTCTGCACCACAAAGAACTGAGCCATACAGGGGCTGGATCATCCATTATCTCTTCGAATGCTGACCTTGCCTTATAACTCCAAACATGTCCAAAGCGGCTCACAGGATCATGTGATCTTTAGAAGCTGCTACGGCTCGCTCCAGATTTCTGAATCACTTGGCCATGCGGAAAAATGACTGGGGCCAGTATACACACAAAGTTCATATGTCCCCTTTGTATGAGATGTGCAGCGAGAGTTTGGATTCCCAAGACTGGGTTGGGAAATTCCTGGAGATTTGGGGGGTGCAGCCTGAGGAAGGTAGGGTTTGGGGCAGGGAGAAACCTCAGTGGGGTATAATGTAGAGATGTGCCAGAAAATTTTCATTGCCAGGGCATGGGGAAATCCAGGGGGCGCCCTGACTACACCTGCTGCTCCTCTTGCAGCAGCTGTAGCAGCAGCTCCGGCTCTGTTGAGACCTCTAGTCCTCCTCCAGTGCTCTAGTCCTTTCGATTGGAGAGACTCGATTCCAGGCTGCTTTTCTGTGTAAGCTGGGGGAGGGGGGATCTCTGAATCTCTCTCTTCTGCTTTTTGCAATTTTATTTTATTTGCATTTTTTAAAAACCTGTTTATTTTTCAGCCCAGAAAAAAGAAAACAAGACTGAAGCTTCCCTGACTGTGGCCAGAGTCATTTTGATATCCCCACATGCATCTTACATTTTCCTTTAAAATGTTTATTTTTTGCCCATGGGGCGGCACTCATCTGTGGGGGGCATTGCCCCAAATGCCCCCTACCCCATGGCTACAGACCTGGTATAATGCCATAGCGTCCACATTCTAAAGCCACCATTTTCTCCAGGGGCACTGATTTCTATATAACCTGGAGACCAGTTGTAATTCTGGAGAATCTCTAGCCACCACCTGAAGACTGGCAACCCTGCATTGTCTTCCCAGATGCATGCTGGCCCTTTTCTGTTTGAGATTACAGCACACGGAGAGAAGCAGCTTCAGCCTTCCCCAGTGCCGGTGCTCATTTTTGTTGTACGCACATTTTATGAACCACTTTGTACTCTGCCACTGCCTAACAGGTTTAACTTAGTAGGTATACTTAGCACTTCCATGATTCTAACATCATGGATGCATTCAGGTATTAACTTTGGTTCATTTGTGACTGTTGTTTGAATGCATGCTGGGAAGAAGGCTGGAATGCTGATACACAGTTATGCTACCCA